TGAGATGACACCTCCAGGGAGGAAAGACGATGCGAGGAGGTGGGGGTGTGTGTGTGGGGGGAGTGCAGTGGTCCAGAGGCAGCCGTCCTGGCCACCAGGAAACCTCTGCAGGCCCCTGGGGAGCCCGAGAGAGCAAGGGACTAGGTGAAACCCGGCAGAGAAAAGTCCGTCCTCTCTACAGGGCCGAGGCCCATCTCGACAGCTTCGACCCAGCCAGGCTCACTCCACCTCGGACCTTCCCAGCCTCGCTCTCGCGTGCAGAGGGGACAAGATGGGGCGTGGGGAGGCCAGGCCCATTTCCTCCTCAGCAGCTGGACCGAGGACTCCACCCCCGCTGGTAATTCATAAAGGACCCCCGAGATGAGGATTTGAGGGGCCGGAGTAGCCAGTGCCCCAGGAGCGTGTCCTCAGGCTTCCCTGGGCCCATGCCTGGCTGCAGGCTCTAAGACGCTGGGAAGTTCTCACTAGTGAGTGTGATCGCGTGCTTGCGGTGCCGCTGAGCCCTGTCACTGTGGGATCGCATCGAACCCTCCCACTGGCCCTGTGAAATGAATACTGACCGCCCCCATTCTAGAGATGAGAGGCTCAAGGGATGAAGGTTAGACTGGCCCGAGGCTGCCGAGAGGCAGTCAGGATCCGATCCCTGTCTGACGGGTCCCTGCGGTCAAGGTAGAGGCTGCGGGGAGATGAGCCTCTGGGCATCAGGGTGGGGAGAGGGCAGGGACTGCAGGGACGGGAGAGACTCCCCGCTCTGCCTCCAGCACAGTGGGTGGCTGCTCAGGAAGGGGAAGGTGACGGGCTTGTCACCAGAGGTGTCCAAGTGGGAGGGATGAGACCCATGAGGAGGCTGCTGGGGACCTGGCCCTCAGACTTTCTGGGTGCTGGACGTGGTCCTAGCGTTGGCTGTGCAGGTGAGCGACCCAGGCTACAAGCCCCGAGAGAGGGTTGTCCAGGTGACCCTGGGCCAGGGACCCCTCTCTGAGCCTCAGCCTCCTCACCTGTAAGATCAGGATGGAAAGCAGACCTCCTTCCGGGGTCAGTGTAGAGCAAAGTGTAGAGCAAGCATGTCAAACTCGTGGCCTGTCCAGCCACGAGTTTGACATGGCTGGAGAGACTCGAGGAGGCACTGCCTGGAAAGCACTTAGCATGCGCCAACACCTAGTAAGTGCTCAGGGAATGCTGGCTAACAGGCGCATGGGATCCCTGCCTCCCTGCCAGGAGCCCAGCCAGGGCCTCTGGTCTGGGTGACACTCACCAAAAGTTATGACCCCGCTTTCCGGATGGGCCAGTGCTGGGAGGAGGCCCCATGCACTCGGCTGAAGGTGCTGCCTGGGCAGGTGGGGACGGAGCAGAGCCCAGGTCCTGAGCCCAGTCCTGCCATTTTAGGCACGTCCCTGCCCCTCTCTGGGCTTCAGTGGGCTTCCTGGCACCAAGTGGGCATCTGAGCTGAGTCCAATGAGGCACAGCCAGCAGGGAAAGCTCCTGAGGGCCCCCTCCCCACCCTTGAGTGGGTGCCCACCTCCACACCCTTCCAGCTCCAGGTACCACTCGGGGAGCCTTTCCCTCCGGCCCTCAAGCCAAGGTGTGGGCCTTCAGAAGGGCCAGGGCGGGCTGTTGTGGGGCCAGTGGAGAAGCCTCATGGGGCAAGGTCATCCTCTTGACATGGCCACCCTCTGTGGAAGAGCCAGAAGCTGTCCCCTAAAGCCAGGTGATGGGCCTCCAGGTGGCCCAGTCCCCTGCCCTGTCTCTGGCCGGAACATATGCATGTGTCACAGGCAGGGGAACATCTGTGCTTGGCATCACCCCAGGTGAAACCTCTCCCGTTTTGCCTCCACGTCAGAAAACCCTGCCTGAATCTCTAGCTATAACCTGGGCCCGTTTGCTTCTGTCTTGTCCCCAAGTTCCTTGCAAATACCCTGGAGAGGGGAGAGGCAGTCCTGCCACTCTTCTCGAGCAAAAGCTGCTGCTCTCTGCAGTGTTTTGAAGAGGCTGCCGGCAGGAGGAGGGTGCCGGCCCTGGGAGTGGCTGGGGGGGAGGGTGGTCCGGGCTGCCCGGTCCCAGGAGGAGATCCTGGTGCCAGGGATGTGATGCCCACAGGGCAGGAGGAGCTGCTGAAGGCAGAGAGAGGCCAGCACTCTTCCGGGCCAGAAGGGCTGAGGTAGACGGTCTTCGGGGAAGCACCCCATATGGGGGTGGGGGCACCTCCATGCTGCCTGCCCGTGGTCCCAGGCCAGGGGGCTTCAGGCCTCTTGTGGGGAGCAGGTCTCTGGCAGCACGGGAGCCCCTGGCATGCCTGTCACCCCCACCTCCGGAGGGCCTGCCTGAGCACAGCCGGCCGGCTGCACCTCCGTGAGTGGTGTTTCCTCCTGGGCCTGTGATGTCACCTGGGGTTGTGTGGTGTGCTTGGAAGTGTGAAAGGCTGGGAGGGTGGGGGCTCTTAGTTCCCGTGGGAACCCAGTTCTTTCTCCTTCCCCACCCCAAAGGAGAAGGGTGGGAACAGCTCCTGACCCCATCCTGCCACTGGAGCCGGCCCTCCTCTCCGCCTGTCGGCCAAGCCAGCCCTGCCACCCCGCCTCTTTGGGGAAGGATGCCCCTGGCTCCTAGATGGACAAAGAGGGGTGAGGTCAGGGACAGTGTCTAGCAGTCTCCTAAATGACCTTGAGTCATTCCCCGGCCTCAGTTTCCCCGCCTGGTGAGCCAATGGTGGGCCAGGAGCGGGTGGCCTGCTCCAGCCTGACCTTGGGCAATCACGGGGAGGGGCTGGGGCTGAGGCCCGGGTGGAAGTAGGGTAGGGAAAGCCCTCCCTTGGGGTTGCTCTGCCAATCCCAACCTTCTCCGCTCCTCCTCCCACGGTAAGGACAGAGGCCTTGGTACGCAGGGACACTCAGCCTGGGAACCTTGGAGTCCTAAAGCTTGTTTTGGGGGTCCGGGGGGGCGGGGGGGGCGGGTGACAGTTGCAGGGTCGGCAGAGGCCAAGGCCGGCGGGGAAGGAGTTAACGGTTCTCCGCTTTATTATCTTCCCCGCTTTGGTGGTGACAGCATGGACGGGGCTTCAAGGCCAGCCTTTGAGGTATGGGGGGGCCAGGGTGGTGGTAGGGGGCGGAGGCCGGAGAGACCCGGACTGGCTAAAGGTCCACAGAGGCACCCCAGGAGCCAGACCTCATTCATGGTGTGAAGGTCTGGGGCGCAGGGAGCCCGGGTGCGCGCAGGCTCCGCGGGCGAACCCCTGGGGGCGCTGCGCTTTGGGTGACCCAGAGCATGGACCCTGGGGACCACACAGACACCCCGACACACGAGCACCCACACCCCCAGGCAGGCGGCCGGGGACCCGGGCGCACGGCAGACGCGGGCCAGCCAAGGACACACAGACCCCGCGGCGCACAGACACAGCGGGCCACGGCGGCCGCCGCCGCGCGCCCCCAAGGGGACCCCGCGCCCGCGCCCCCCGTTACCTTCATGTCGTTGACGATGGCCTGGAAGAGCCCGCCCAGGGCGCCGCACTCCTTCTCCGCCGTCTCCATGCTCAGGCCGGGCGGCGGGGCGCAGGCGGGGCGCGGGCAGCCGGCGGGAGAGCCGGGCCGCGGCGGGCGCTCGCTCCGGGCCCGGCCGGGCCTGCCGCCTCGGGGCGCGCTCAGCGGCCGGCAGCGCCGCGCTCGGGGGTCGCGGGCCGCCGTGGGGCGGCGCAGGCCATGGCGCGCGGGGCTGGCGGCGGCCGGGGGGCGCGGCGCGGGCAGCTGGCGGCGCAGCCTCGGCGCGGGGACTGAGGCGGCGGTAACCGGAGCCGCCGCGGCGCGGGCGTCACGTGGGCGCGGCGAGGGGGACGCGGGGGGGGGGGGGGGTGGAGGGTCGCGGCGGGAGGGGCTGTGGGAACCGCCGGGCGGGCGCAGGCCCGTTCGCCGCCAGGCACCGCGGCTTTGAAATCCGAGCCCAGCGCGGCCAGACTGGTCGGGCGAGCGGGCGGTGGCGCGGGCGCCAACGCGGGTCGGGGGCGGCGCTGGGGCGGGGCCTGCGGCTGCCCGCCCCCCGTGGAGGGGCTCACGCGGCCTTGCAGCCCGAGGTCTTGGGCCTGGGGCCTCCGGGCTCAGCAGCCCCGCGGAGGGCTGGGGTCCCCTGGGAGCACCCCGAGGTCGGCCACAGCGCGCACAGCACGAGGTGTCCCGAGGGCCGCCTGCCCCGGGCGCTCCATCCCAGGCGGAGGAGTTCGGACCCTGCTCCACCAGTTCTTCGGCTCCTGTTCCAAATGGCGCGGATGCCACCCTGATGGGGGGCCTGGCGGTTGGGGGTAGCAGTGACCTGGTCCGCTGGCAACCCTTCTTGGGTGGTGGGACCATGTGGGTCCAGTAGGGCAGAAGTCGGCCGCGTCCTACACCCTGACCTGGAGACTCCAACGGTGAAACCCACCGCCCAGAGACGCTGCTCTGGGAAAGCTCCTTCGCTCCACCCCGCCACGGGTCCTGAGAGCCACTTAAGAGCCCTTGGGCCAATCAGAGGCTCCAAAGTGTGAGGCCAAGGGCCTACAGGTGCGGCTAGGTGAGGCTCATTTAGCCCAATCCAGGGGAAGCTTCACCTGGGCACGTCCTCCCTCCTTGCACCGTCTGGCCCTCCTTCCCACCCCAGTGGGCCGCAGGTCTGCAGTGCGCATGCCCTTTCATTCAGACACTCCGGAGGTGCGCTCAGTCCATGTGACCAGTGGAGACGTGTCCCATGGTGCCTGGGCAATCAGGATGAAGTCAGAGCAGGTGCCTGGGAGGGGTTTCCGGGTTCCAGGCAGGCCAGTGCTTGGTGCTTTCTGGGAAGTAGGGGCAGTTTCTAGAGGTGAGCTGGGTCCCCCAAGGCCCACACCTGTGAAGTGAGTGTGTAGTAACCAGACTCCCGGAGAAGCTAGCCCTCCTGGGGGCCACCATGAGCCCTGTCTCCAGGATAGGTGCAAGGTCCTGGGGCAGCTGCAGCATCAGGCAGGGGCAGGCGCCAGTGGGAAGGAGCAGGCAGGCACAAGCTGAGGGTTTCCTGTCATTTCTTTATTGGGGCAGGGAATGCATCATTCACACGGACCTCTGTGTTGGCCCCTATGTGCACACAGCTCCGTATACACACATCGCATGAGGCCAGGGCTCTGGTGGGCCGGGAGGTCCAGCTCTTTCACAGAGGGCGTTAGAAAGAGATCATTCCAGAGGATAGGTGGCGTCTGAGGCTGTGGCCCCACCCGGGTAGGAAGCCAGCTCTATCTGAATGCTGGGCAGCGCGGGGGGCCAGGGGGCCGGGTGGTGAGAGGAGTTCGGGTAGACAGAGCAGCCTCCACCCCCGCTCCCATCCCTGGGCTGTGGCAGGGCCAGCCCTGCTCCCGAGGCAGGTCCTCAGGCTCGGTGGGAAGGGGCCTGAAGATCCCAGGGCTCCACGGGACCACTCCTGGGCCCTTCTCCACGCCAGGCCTGTCAGAGGACAACCCTGCGGTCCAGGTGATCCCCGCGCCCACTCCGCTGGTGCCTCACTTCCAGGTGTTTCTTCTGGACCTTCTCAAAGTGCTGCAGCAGCTCTGCATAGTCGATGCTGGCCGAGTCCGTTTTCTGCGACTTGGGGGCTGCCTTCAGACTGTCTCTGGGGAGAGGGAGCAGAAGGGCGCAGTGTCAATGTCCTGGCACACGTGCTGCTGGAGGGAGGCAGCTCCAGACACAGGAGGGCAGGGCCACAGGTGGTGGAACTCCACGGCGGGGAGTTGGCTGCTTCAGGCCCAGCACCCCTTCCCCAACAGCCCCAAAGAGTTGAGGAGCCCTGTGAGCTTCCCCTCCCCGGCAGTTGGAGAGACCAGTCAACACTGCGGCTTGGATATGGCCTCCAGCCTGTGGGCTGGCAACAGCGCCCAGAGCAGGCATCGCATTGGGAAGCATTTCCTGTTTACGAGTGGCTCCCTTTGGGGTGACAGCCAGGGCCTGCAGCCAGCCAGGAAGCCAGCTGGGGACTGGAACAGGGTCAGGGATGGGGGAGGAGGCAGCTGGCCCTTTCTCTGGGGCAGGGCTAGGGCCAGCAGGGAGGCTGAAGGGTCTGTACTGGGCCCTCAATTGGCAGGACACATTTTTGAGTGTTGGGACCCAGAAGCCTGCAGGCAGTCCCTGTCCCTGGGGAAGCTGGTTTCATCGCTGGGCATGCCCATGGCTCCTACCGCTCCTGTTGCTACCACCCTCCCCAGCTGCTTGGTACAGCAGCACGAGTTGTGCACTGCACACTTACAATGTGCGTGGTACTCCCTACAGTTGTGCAAACTAATAGCCCTGCTGCCCCTTCAAACCAGTGTTTAGCTTGCCCTTGGGGACTAGATCCCCTCAGGCCCGTCCCATTCGCCATCCCTGCAGTCCTGTGATAGACTCTGCTCTCCTTCACGGACCGCACTGGCCTGGGGGCAGATCTATGTGGCCGGCAGTTACCTGGGGGCCCTTGGAGCTCTAGGGAAGGGGCCTCAGGAAGGCTCTGGGCTGTTCGTGAGAATCCTTGGGTCCTGTGAGTCATGAACAGACCCCAGTGGGGGTGTCCGGGCAGCAGCCGAGCACAGGAGCTAGACAGGTATGACCCAATGGTAACCTGACCACTTCCTAGCCATTAAACATTGGGTGACTCAGTTTCCTCATCTGTAAAGGGGGATTTCTCCAGCCCCCGCCTAGGTACCTGATGGGCAGCCACCATGGCTACAACTCTGCCCTCGGAGGTGACCAGCCAGGGCCCGGCAGCTTGAGGCACATGAGCTACTCATTTTGGGGGAAACACGACGGTGCTTCACCCAAACGGACCCCTCAGCAGTGAGCGTGGCTCCCGGCATGGTCTGCGCCTGAGAGGCATCGCTGCCCCTCCACCGGGCTGCTGGGCCAGGGCCAGGGCAGCGTGGACCCTCCCATGGTCGGCCACCTGGAGCCTGGAGGTGGCCCCTGCCCCTCAGCCTGCTCCCTCCCTGCCTTCTTGTGAAGGTGCATCACCTGCAAACACCTTGGCCGTTTGCTGGGGCTGCTGCTTTCTGGGCCTCAGGCCTTGCCTCCTGAGCTGTTGAACATAGTTCAACGAAGATCAAAAAGTGGGGCTGCTCTAGGGGCCAGATGGCAGGCAGGGACCTCCTCTCACAGTCACTTTGTAGCACAGTTGCCACTGTCCCGAGAGAAACCTGGGTTTCTGAGGAGGCCGAGAGACACCCTGGAGCTCGGACCTCTAACTTCAGGGGGTGGCCGGATGCTACCCCAACCCAGGCCTGTAAACGTGAGGCCAGAGATGACCCTGAAACATGTCATCTGCCTCTGGGGTTCCATGGGTCTGTATGCTGCTCCCTCAACACTCCTGGTGAGCCTCGGCATTAGGCCCCAGGAGCGAGATGAGGGGTTTCCATGGAGATGTCAGCAATGAATGGCAAACCCAGGTGATATGCAAAGATGTGGCCAGGGTGTGGGGGTCGGGAGGAGTAGGCTGTACCTTGCTCTCTAGACAATTAGTCTTGTCCCCAGGGACTCAGCCTCCCTGCTGGTAGACCCTTCCTGGCCTGAGGTCATGGGCGCAGGGAGGGATATGTCCCATGGGGGTCAGGACTCCTCTCCCTGCGTCCCAGAGGGCACAGCCACCGGGGCCTCGCACGGGTCCTTCATGTTTGCAACCCTTAGGCAGTGATGCCCGGAGGACACCGCCAGCAGCAGAGCTGGGGTTCCTCTCCTGCCACCCAACCCACGCACCTGTCACCAGGCTACTGTGGTGAGCGTCACAGCTTTTCCTTCGGAGGGTCCCTCCAGCCTCACCCAGGAGATGGTCTTTGGGGAGTGGCTGGGAAGCCTGAGGGGGGCTAGGCTCCCTTAGCCCTGTGGGCGCCTTGAGCTCACAGAATGAGGGGAGGGCGAGGGCCCAGGAACTCCCTCAGCTGTTCCCTGCTTGCAGGCCTGTCAGGCACCTGACGCTGTCCCCCAGCTGCCTGTCCCTCCCAGGGCTGAGACTGTCCTCTCCAGGATGTGCGCTGTCCCTGTGCCCACCCTGCAATCTGACCCCTCCCAGCTGTTCTCGAGGCCCCTCCTCACCTACTGCTCCTGGCCTGTCCGCCTGGGTCCCCGCTAAGAATGGCTGGGAACACAGAGTCCTGAAGCAGCCATTTAGTCCCAATGCTCATTTCCTGAGGAAGAAACCCAGAGAAAGAGTGGGGCTTGCCTGAGGTCAGAGCTGGGGCCAGGTCCCTATTGAGGCCTGGGGATGTCCCGACCGGCAAACAGAAGGAACGTCCCTATTGAGGCCTGGGGATGTCCCGACCGGCAAACAGAAGGAACGCTTGGTTCCCTAGCGTCCCTGTGCAGACTCGCTCTGCCCTGGCTTGGGGCGCGCAGGGAGGGTCCCTCTATTCTGAGATGAGGAGAGTAGGGGGCAGAGCTCAGAGAAGGGAATGGCCCAGCAGCACTGGGTCCACGGCCTGGCCTGAGGTCTCCCCAGCAAGGCAGGCTGGTTCCTGAAATGGGGTACCAGAGCCTGCCTACCTCCTCCTCTCTTCCCACCGCACCCCCTTCCTAAGCGCCTGCCAGGCCCACCCTCACACCCACCAGGTGTTGTAAAGGCCCGTGTAGAGGAGGCCAGCGAAGCAGTGTGGCTTCAAGGCCTCTCTCCCCAGACGCAAACCCAACTCCTCAGCTGCTCTCTGCTCCCCTGGGACTCCCCGGTGGCACCAAGAGCAGCGGGATAGTGCCAGCACCGCCGCCCTGAAGAGCTGCTGCTGGGGAGAGGGTCAGGGTGGGCAGGAGCTGGGCCTTGGTCTGGAGACCACTCTTGCTGAGGGCTCGAGCCCCTCCAGCTGGCCCGGGGCAGACCAGCAGTCAGGTGCCCACACCCAGCCCGTGGCGAGGCCAGGCCGGTGGGAGGGGTGGTGGGCTGAGCCCTGTAGGGCATAGAGGCTCGGAGCAGGGGCCGTGTGCCGGGCAAGCCCATCTCAAGGCTGCCTGCATCCATGCCAATGGCAAAGGTGCGAGGCCCTTCCAGGAGCGAGATGCCAGGCCCGCAGAGCGGCCTGAACAGCCTGGGAGGGAATTCTAGACACACAGGGCATCTGATGCAAGCTGGGCGCGCTCCATTCAGCGTAAATCTTCTCAGTGGCTCTGCCTGTTTCCATGGCGACCTGACAAGTGAAATTTTCCATCTCGGATGCCAAATGCCTGTGGATGAGGCGAAGCCTCCAAGGGTTACCAAATATAGACAAGGCCCAACAGGCTCCAGGGGCCAGGCCAGCAGTGTGTTGGGGTGGGAGCCTCGACCCCCCAGGGGCCGCAGCCTCCTGCCAGAGCTGCCCATGCTGGGCCTCTTGGCAGAGGTGTGTCTATACCTTTTCTTCCTGTGGGCAGCGCCCGCACAGTGCAGCCACAGGTGCACGCTACCTCTGATTTTTAGGTTAACCCAGGTTCTTAGAGAAGGTCTCACTACCACCTGCTCCCAGAATCCCCCAGCCTGGTGTTCTGATAGGGAAATGAGAGGCCCACAGGCAAGTGGCTGTGGGTGGACAAGGTCTGAGGTGAGAGAGGGGTGTGATGCCCAGGCAAGGAGACCCTCGGCAGCTCCTGAGGCACAGCATCCTCACCAGGCCCCCCGGCCCTGCCCTTGCTGGGTGGCGATGCCTCCCCCCATGGAGGCAGCGGGCGCAGGCCCCGCCCGGCACTCACTCGGTCTGCAGCAGCTCGGGGTTGGGCACGCACTGGAGCCGGTGGGAGAGCAGCTGGAAGGCGCTGCTCTGGGGCAGCAGCATGAGCAGGCCATAGAGGGCCTTGATCAGGTACGGGTTGTTCTTCACGTCCAGCAGTTGCAGGCGCAGATCTGCAGGAGAGCAGAGGTCAGGGGTTAAGAGGCTGGCCAGGGCAGGGCCAGCCAGGGGGCCGTGGCAGAGAACAAGGCAGGGGCTCAACAGCCAGGTACCACTCCTGCCCCCAGCCAGCAGCTCCTCGCTGTCCCCTGACCTCATCATTCTCTCTTCCTACCACTGCCTGTCTGATCTTCCCAACAGTCACCTCAGCCTGGCGACGCCAACCTGCCGCTGGGCTGTCCCTGCCCCATGCTCACCGCCTCCCTGGTAAGGAGGGGCATGGGTTGTACTGTAGCAGGTCCCCTCTGTGCTGCACGAGCTAGGCAGGTGGGCTGGAGAGGCTGGGCTAGGAGCGCGGAGGGAGGGCAGGGTGGAAAGCACTGTCATGTGGGGCTGAAACACATCCCACGGGCGTCTGGTAGGGGCTTTGGAATCCACCTCAGATCCAGTCCTGCCACCACCCCACCGGTGGGAGGAGACACACCCCTGGCCCTGCCTGGCACCCGTCCCAACTACACAGGCCCAGCCTTCTCTCCTATGAGCCCCCCTGGGAGTCACTGGCTCTAGCTTCTTGTGTCTCTAGGCCCAGCTGGGTACCCTCTGTGGAGGGTGACACACACTCCCAGAGGCCACGCCACCAGCAGCTGTGCAGCGTCTGGGCTGATGCTGAGCTAGGGAGCAGCCAGGCCCTGGGGCTGGGAAAGCTAGGAAGCAGGGCATCCCGCAGCCCGCCCCTTCTGAGGTGGCAGGGGCCACCAGGGGAGACCTGAGCAGTCATCCCCGCGCCTTGCAACTCCAGCAGAAGCGTGGGCCTATCAGGGTCCAAACCCCCGAGCCCTGCGGAAAGCTGGGTCTAGGCATCCCACCGTTAGAACGGGTGCTCGGCAGGACCAGGGGGGCATCTGCTGTGGTCGCCCCAACAAAGTCCTGGGCCTGGAGAGGAGATGCTGTCGCTTTTCTAGGGTCGGGATGGATCTGACCTCAGGGGAGCATGTGCCTGGCTGCCTGGGAGGCCCCCAGGGAAGTGAGATCAGCTCAGGGGACCACCTGGGACAGGCTCAGGTGCACTCCACGGGAGCAGGTCTCCCTCCACACGTGTCCCACAGGCATTGGGCCTGGCTGTTTGGAAAGCCGCCCTCTGGATGGGTGGAAGGGGTGGTGTCCTCGGCCCCTGAATCTGCCTTTGGGCTCCAGAGTGAAGGCTGATGGCTCAGCCTGACAGGTCACAGGCACTGCCAGAGAGCAGGAGGCCTGTGTGGCTGGCTTCCTACCGCACTGAAAGCGCACGCGTTGCATGCAGTCGCCGTGTCTGAGGCGCCAAGAGCTGCGTGTGCCATAGCCAGCTGCCACTTTTGCACATTCAGCCTGGGTGTTACGATCAGGCAGCTCCCACCCATCGGCTCCCAGCAAATGCCAACTCTGCTTTGCGGAGAGATGAGTGTGTGGCTCTTGGGCACACAGCAGCCTGCAGGTGGGCCAAGGGTCCCCACAGCGTCCAAGAGCCAGGGCAGAGTGGCGTCTTGGAGGGGCCGGCACGGCGCTGGGACAGCTGCCCACCTGTCCCAACAGCACTGCTTCAGTTCTCCCGGCAGCTGATACTCACCTTCAGTGGGTTTTGCTGTCGGCGCTGGCCTGTCCACAAGCCCCACCCTGAGGCACCCGGGCAGGTTCTGATGCCACATGTCCCAGCCCTGCTGCGTCTGGTCTCCTCAGACCTGATCTCCTCCCCAGTCTTCCACTCTTGACATTCCAGAGTATCCCTGGGGTGACTGCACTCCCTCCACCCCCTCCCTCTTCTGAGTGTGGCTTCACCCCGCCTCACTCCAGGCCGCCTCACTCCAGGCCACCCAAAGGCCAGAGGCCAGAGGCAGGGCCCTTACATGTGAAGATGGGGCACTCGATCAGCTGTACCAGCTTGTCCACCTCCGTGAGGAAGTCCACAGTGACCTCCAGGTCCCCGCTGGTGGGCAGTCAAGGAAAGTCTTCCCCTTGGGCCAGGACAGCCTGTCTCAGGGAGGGCCCTGACGGGGAGGGGCGGCAGCTGGAGAGCTGGGACCCAGGGGCCTGACCCAGCGGCTCAGAGCGACCCTCCTCCCTCCGGTCCGGCTCCCGAGGCACAGAGCTGCTTCTGCCTAAGCTGGATTCCGCATGCGAAGGGCATTAGTCCATCCCGCTGCCTTTGTGTCCCTCTAATTGAGAAGCGCACAGCTGTCCCCGCTGCACGGCACCCGGCTCTGCTCTGGCAGCTCCCTCCCCTGCGATCCTGGGCTCTGAAAGGCCCTCACTTATCGCGGCCCTGCAGCCTGTGGGGAAGGCTGGGCAGGAAGGGTCTGCTCCCGCCTGAGTGGATGCTGCCAGCCCGGCCAAGGTCAGGGCTGCGGTAGGTGTGGCTTGTGGTCCCTTGGTCACCAATGACCGAGAGAAGCAAATCTAGGGTGTGGAAGGGGAGCAGCACTGAGGGAGCCAGGCAAGGCCATGGCTGACCCTCAAAGGAGACCCCTCAGGGTCCCTCCTTCCTGAACCCCAACTCCAAGCCCCTCAGGGAAGGAGACCGATTTTGCATCTAAGCAGCTCTCCCAGTGAGGTCACGCCAGGCATTCCCGGAGGAGGCTGGTTTGCTGTACAGTATTTTAAACAAAATGTGACCATGATGCCCTTCGCTGAGGCAGGCCCTGAGTTGGGCTGGGGGGGGGGGGGCGGTTCCCTCTTCTGAGGCCCCCTGGTCAGCCCGCTCTGCCCCCTGGGTCACCGCCGAGCTCTGGCTCTGTGGCCCCTGAAGGTCCCTAAGCACCAGCAACACCAGCAACACTCAGCTCAGCCCACAGGCTCGCCCCTGCCTGCTCTCAGGCCTTCCGCCCACCCCAGCACAGGGCCCGCTGATCTGCAGCGAGCAGGTGCCCCTGCCCGTTCCCCGGATCCCGCACCTGGTCCCTCAGCCCCGATCCCCAGCCTATGCGGTTTCTCCAGGGCCAGCTCTCCTCCCTCAAGGCACCCATCCGGTCCTGATGTCATGGGCCTGGGGGCAGGAGGATGGCAGTGGGCCCACCCCTCCAGTGGTTGGACCGGAAGAACTGACAGCGAAGGATACAACTTCTGGATGAGGTCGTAGGCGTGCCGGTAGTTCTGGGTGAGGAAGCAGAGGGACACCGTGGTGACGGGGTTGTGGCACCAGGAGCGGTACAGGCAGCAGAACAGGTCCTGGCTCTCCTGGGGGAGGCAGGAGCAGTGAGCAGAGGGCCCGCGCCTCCTCATCTGCTCCTCCCCCCGGGGTCCATGTGGGGACCTGAGCGGGAAGGGCCCGTGTGGGGAGCCAGCTGTTGGCAGCCCCGCTGGGAACGCGCTGTCACAGGAAATGCTGACAGTTCCTCCCGGACCCTGTCATTACTCCAGGCCCCACAGAGCCACGTGTGGTGACAGGGCCTGGTGGGGGAGCCTGTCCTCCGTGCTGGCATTTCTGCTCTCGGCAAATGACAGTGATTGTCCCCTCTAGGACCCTGTGGTCCGGAGTGTGTGGGGCTGGGAGAGCTGTGCGGGAGGGCACAGCCTGCGGGTGGGGTGTGGTTCCCTGCAGCACCCTCCCCTCGTCCTCAAATGGCACATCTCCTCCCTCTCTGCGGCCCACCTTGCACTCGGAAACCAGCCCAGGAGTTGAACCCACATTCGGGGGAGCCCCTGCCCCGAGGAAAATTCTTAAGGCCTCTGCGAATGTCTGAAAGGAACCACAGGAAGGAGGCAGGGGTGTGGCCTGGATCGTTCCGAGCCTCTTGGCCCCAGATGCCCTCAGACCAGGCTTGGCTGTCCTGGAGGCACCCTGAGAGGGTTGGATGCAGGGTCTGAGCTGGGAAGGAGGGTGTGGGGATGGTGACCACAGCCCAGATAGGGGAACGAAACGCCTGGAGGCCATCTGCAACTCAGCCCCCACCCCTGGGGAGCATGACCTTGACCATGGCCCCCAGAGCAGGATGGGAGGATGGTGAGTGCCTTCCTGCTCTCTGATCAGCCCTGGGGAGGTCCTCATCCCAAGCCTGGGACAGGCAGCCCTATGATACCCTGGCTTCTGACAGGTGCCTTTTGGGACACATGGTCTAGCTGCTGGGGAACAGGGCCAGGGCCAAAGAGGAGGGCGACGAGAGCAGTAACCCGATCCCCGGCAGGGTGACAGCCACAGGCCTGGCCCTGACAGGGAGGTGGCATCCAGAGGGCATCACCCATTGGGTCCCCCACGAGTCCAGAACCCTGTGTGCCAGGGGGCAGCGCCAGGGTGGGAGTGGGGTGTCAATGGGAGATAAGGCACAGCCTTTGATGGGTCAGGGAGGGTGCGTGGACCCGAGTAGAGCACACGGTCTCCTTGGAGAGGCCTCTGCAGCTGCTCAAGGAACCAGCTGGGACTCACTCCCATGCTGTTGCTTCCTGTGCTCAGCCCAGGGGCGTCCATGTTTTACACTGGCCCAGGGAGATCTCCAATTTCATCCGTCTCCTCCCAGAGAGCCTCCTGGGGCTGAGGGCGGGCTGACAGGACGGGTGCCCGGTGCCTGTGTGCACACAGGGTTCCCCAGCCAGAGCTCGCAGGCACGGTACCAGTGTCCTCAGGTCCTTGAGCTGGTTCCGCAGCTGGAAGAGCTCTGTGGAGGTGAGCAGGATGGTGTTGAGGGTGTGGACCATGGTCGAGGCGAACTTGAGGTCCTCTTCTCGGAGTAGGATGTCCGCCATCGAGTGGAAGATGTTCTCCGCGTTCAGCAGGAGGCACAGCTGCCTGGGAAGCGGGCAGAGCGAAGGTTACGGCACCCCCTGGGCCTCACTGTGGACCCCTCCCCGGTCTCCCCATCCTGAGGACACCTGCTTCTCCTGGGGCCGGTGTGGGGACCATGGGGGACACGGGGCACTGTTCACAGCGGGCCTGGCTCCACGCCTCCCAAAACACTCACCCTGGCCCAGCGACTGGAGCCCCAGACAATTCATCCCTGACTCTGCCCCAGGGAGACGGTTCTCAGAGCGCGGCAGGCCCTGGCTCTCACCCCCACATACACGGCGCTCTGTGCCGCCAGCTTCTATGGCTTCTACACGTCTGCTCACCGGGTCCTGTCCCCCCGCTCCCCATGAGAGCCCCTGGGCCAGGAGCTGGTTTGTGCGGTTCTCCCTGCAACCCCGCCTGGAGGTGCCTGCAGGTGCTGGGCTCAGGCGGCATTTGTGGGATGAGTGAACCTACGACACCCCGAGTTTCATCTTTGCTGGCACAGGGCAGTGAGGTGACTTGACCAAAGTCATGGGGTCAGTTAGGGACCCTTTCTTTCCACCGTCTCTTCTCTAGGGAGAATCTTGGGGGACAGGCTTGGCCTTGGTGGAAAGGAGTCCCATTTGATAAACAAGAAAACGGAGCCCAGGGAGTAAAGACAGTTTTCCAGGGTCCCTGGGCCAAGGCGAGGTCAACAGGAACAGGTGGGCGCGAGGAGGGGCTTGGAGGAAGCTGTCGACCTCCAGAGTTTGTCCCTGTGCCCATGGAGGCCTGGCTGGGGGGACAACGGGCCCCCGGGAGTCCAGGCGTCCTGAGCAGGGAGGGCCGCACCGAGCGGGCAACTGGTTGGTGAGGAGGGTGGGTACCCCTCTCTGACTCCTAGTCTCTGTTCCAGGGAAGCCCGCAGACCATGCCTGGGGCTGGTGGGGACAGGGGTCTGAGGCCTGAAACATGTCCATCCCAGGTCACTGACCTCGCAGTACATGCAGCATCAGGGACCGGCCCCTGCTTTCCTCTACCAGTAAACACCAGTCACGCCTCGGGGCCAGGCTGGAGAAGATCCTCGCCCCCCAGGCCGCCAAAATCGCAAACCACGAAGTGCAAACAGTGGACAGGCAGGCTCCATCCAGCCTTGGCCCAGCTGGAACCAGCAGACTCGGGCAAGAAACCACCAGAGACATGGAAACAGGCTGTTGAGGGGAGGGGTGGAGCTCTACCATCACCGGGGGCTCCCCTGCCTTCCTGGGATGTGAGGTGTGTGGGGGGCAGAGGTCCCAGAGCCCGTGCTCCTGCCCAGCTGTGTGACCCAGTGTCTACGTGACAATGTCTTTACCTCCCACCTGGCGACAGTGCCCACCTGTGCCATGGGGGCTGCTCAGAGAGCAGCTGCCAAGACTAGTGGTGGCTTGTGTGGGGTGCACAGTCTATGGCGAGTGGGGCCCCTGGTTGGTAACACGAGTGGGGTAACAGCCAGCTCCCAGGAGAAAGCCTGGCCCTTAGGCCGAGAACAGACAGCACCTCCGGTCCCCTCCGGTCCTCCCAGCCCCACAGGAGCCCCGTCTCCAGGGCCATGGGAGAGAAATGTTCCCGAAGGGCAGGCCAGGCAGGAAGGGCAGCGCTCTGACAAATGCTCACAAATGCCCGTCGCCTGCAGCTGCTGCCGTCTCCATGACAGAGGCCAGCAGCTGAGCCTGCTGCCAGGCAGCGCCTCCAGGGACCACAGGCCGGCGGGGACGGCTGGGAGGGGGCGGAGGGACAGGCAGAGGGGTGGCCATGAGGAGAGGAGGGCACCCAGGCTCCTCGTGTCCCTAAGACCTGGGGAACACTGGCGGAGCTACAGAAGGCCCGGGACGGCAGAGTTTTCTGGAAACGCTCTTCTCTGGCCACAGTGACCCATGCTCCCCTGGTTCTGCCACCTCTCCGGTGGCTGCCCCCTAGTGCCGTGCAGCCCCCTGCTCGCTCTCCAGCCTGTCTCCTGGTGGTGGCATCTGGTCCATGATTATTTTCAAAGCTGCCTCTAGCTCAGGGGCTCCCACATGTGCCTCTGACCCCCACTGAGCCCTGCATGGCATTTCAAACTTGGCAGGGCCACAGTGTAACTCTTGGCCCCCCCAACTGTCTTCATCTCGGGAACTGGTGTCACTGCCCATCCAGCTGCTGCAGCCCCAACCAGGGAGTCATCCTTGATCCCCGGGCCCGTGTTGGGTCCACCGCAAGACAGGGCAGGGGGCTCTGCCTTCAGGGCACATCTTGCCTCCTCCGGGCCCTGTGTCAGCCGCCCGAGCCCTGGTGCCCGGTCGACTCCAAGCCGGCTCCTGATTGGCCTCCCAGCCTCTCTCCCTGTAGAATTCACCCTCCATGCACCAGCGGGGGTCCTTCAAAAGTGTCCATCAGAGCACGGCACTCCCCAGTGGCTTCCTGCTGGATCTAAATAAAACCCAGCCCCTCACCCTGGCTCCAGGATCCCACACACTCTGGTCAGTTCCTCTCCAACCTCAGCCCTTACATGTGCTCCCTCCCTCACGATGCCCTGTGCCCTGGCCTCTGCCCTGGCCTGGAGAACGCTGCTTAGGGACTGGCTCCTTCCAGCCACCCAGGCCCCAGCTCTAAGTGAGTCCTGTTTCTTTCCAAGTGATTCTCATTACCCAGGTCATCTGGGTGATGGACTTGTTCCCTAGGTCCCAGGCTGTGTCTCCCACCAGAATTTGTCTGGGACCCCCATGTCCCTCAAGAAGAGAAGAGGGCCTGGCACTCAATAATCACTGTTGTTTTTTTTTAATTGTGAATCCTCACCTGAGGATATTTTTCCATTGATCTTTTAGAGAGAGTGGAAGAGAGAAAAAGACAGAGAGAAACATCGATGTGAGAGCAACACACTGATCGGTTGCCTCCTGCACACGCCGACCAGGCCGGGGAGGAGCCTCCAACCAAGGTACGTGCCCTAGACCAGAATCGAACCTGGGACCCTTTGGTCCATGGGCCGGCGCTCTATCTACTGAGCCAAACCGGCTACGGCTCAATAATCACTGTTGATTGTGACTGTGCGGAGGGGCCACGCTAACGCTGATGAAGGCTTACGCTGATGGACAGTGTGCCTGCGGACACTCCTGTGCTCAGCCCAGCAAGCCCGCTGCACATCTGTGTGCATTCTGTCTGCAGAGCGCAGCTGCCGTGAGGTCCCTCCTTCACCCTGGCCACCTGGGGCCTGGCTGCCCTGCCCAGGGAGACCCCCGGCAGGTCTTCACTATAACCCCCTCCTCCACAGAGGACCCTGCTCCAGCCACACCATCGACCAGGGAGCAGGAAGGGTGGATTCAACCCAGAAGAACCGACTTCCAGAGCGTGAGCCCCTCTTACTGCTCTGCCTCCTCGGTGCCTATTAAGAGCGGGCAGCGGGGACTGCCCACCCGGTGGGGCTGGCAGATGGCTGCCCCCACAGGGCTGCTGCGTCATCACTTCTCTGCCGAGCCCAGCCTGGCCGAGCTGCCTGCCTGGCGCTCAGGCATAGCTCTGTAATGGAGCACAGCTTGTAAGCATTAAACATTTGCCCGGACTTTTAATACCCATATTAAAGTGCAGCTCATGAGACAATGGTTTAGAACAGCGGCTGCTAATCTTTCGGACCTCACGGATGACCGGTGGTCCACGGATGGCGACCGCTGATTTAGAAAATGCTTGGGGAAGAGGCACAGGTGGGGTGGGAGGGAGCCTGGACGGGGTCTCACACCCGCCTTAGCGCTGGACCGGGCAGGGGTCCACATGTGAGCCCTCACACTCAGACAGGGTCCCGGGGTCGGGGTTCTCCCTTCCCCTCCTCCAGGCTCCTGCTACCCGCCCGGGCAGCCACTCCCCTACTTCCGGGTCTGCATTCTCTTTGGTCCCTGTCATATGCTAGAGGCTCTCAGGGGAGCGACCTGTCTTCAGCCTGTTTTGGAGCCCCACTTTCCCCAGCGGACTGCTGTGCCCTTTGGGGCAGCCTCAGAGGGGAAGGCCCTCTGCAGCCATGCCCGCACCTGCCCCGCCGGTGTGAGCTTCACGTCACGGCCCCTTCAACACTAACACTGGCCAAGCCTCCACTGTGCCGCAGACGCCAGCCCCGAAAGGCCACCAGCCTCAGTGCTGGCCACGGTGGGAGGTGCTCGCCGAGCCCCCCTGGCATCCACCCACAGCGGCGGCTTCAGGTGACAGGTGGCCTAGACTGGGCAGGAGGCGGCCTGCATGAGGCAATAGCTGCTGCCCATCTCCTGGGAGAAAGGCCTGGGCACAGGCTGGTCCCCGCCAGGCCAATGGGGAGCCTGGTGCTCTCCCCGATCCTGTCCTGGGTGTGGGGAAGGGGCCACACACGGCTGCCTCCAGGGACCGGGGCAGGCCCCCAGCGTGGGCAAGGCCGCCCCTGGTGTGGAGGACAAGACCTCCCGGTGGCGCCGAGCGCCACCCCAGCTGAGTGTGGACAGGAGGAGGTGCCGCTCTCCGGGGGTGCAAGGTGGGGGGGCTGCTTCTGCCGCCAGATGCCTCTCCCCCCACTCCTCCCCGTAAGCCCCTGCTGTCCAGGCACAGCCTGTGGGCCCAGGGGGGCACGAGGGGCAGTTCAGCACTGGAGGCCTGTCTAGGTAGTGGGGTGGGGGAAGGGGGAGTGTGAGTGGTTCCTTTCAGGACAGACACAAGGTAGGAGGTTTGGGGGGTGGCATAGAGTGGGGACAGTTGGGGCCCGGCAGGCCCAGGCCCGCTGCAGGAGCAGGGGCCCCACAGTGAGGGTGGGCCTGGAGGCTGAGCACGGTGCCTCCGTGGGAGGAAGCATTCTGGCTCCCTGCTGGGTGGGCTCTGGGAATCTGGACTCTGCCATGTGCTTCGGAGACGATGTCAGACTTCTTCCCACGACCCCGCTTCCCCTCGCCCCTCGCCCCTCGGAAACAGGACCGGCAAGGTCACCATGGCCAGAGACAGCCCCTCACCCTCACTGTCGGCAGGCCCTCCCGAGGCCCCTGGGCCACTTTCAAGATGCTCAGTTGGCCTCTGGGCTC